ATATGTGTAATTTTTATGAAAAATAAAAACATATGATTACAATTTCATTTCCATAATTTATAACACTATTATAAAACTTTGATTTATTATTTATTTTTATAATTTTTAACTTTTTTCACCTCATGCACTTTTTTTTTTGTCAAAAAATATGTGCACGAGGAAGTAAGATCTAAAAAAGCTTGACAAAGAGAAGAAGATTTTTGTATAAATTGTTTGATTTTATTTCATATAGAATTTTTTTTAATTTATCAAAAATATTTTTTTAAAAAATAGAATATGTATATATATTTGTTTTGAATGTAAACATACAAAAGAATGTGATGGTGATGATGCAAAATAAGCATTTTTATGAATAAATTAGGAATATGAGGAATTTGAGAGATAACTATGCTAGTTCATTGATCTTTATAAATGACAATACTAGTCAAATAAAACTTGATTTTTTTTATTTATTTATTTTGGATTACATATATATATACTTTATTTCTATTTTTTATAACACATATTTTGAATTTGCTATTTAATAATAATAATAATAATATCAATAATAATAAAAATTAATATAAATATATACTAAAACAATCTCTAAAACTGTTCTTTCAATTTCTCATTAAATGAGAGTAACATACATTTTTAGTCAAATATTTGATGTATATTAAACTACCATATTTATTATTATTTTTTGTTATATGTATATTAAATCAAGGAAGAGCAACTTAAGAAATGAAAAATATTAATTCATAGAATACTAAGCATACTTAAAAAAAAAATGAATACTTAAAAGAATATTAAGCGTTGAAGGCAAAAAAAAAAAAAAAGATGGGTGGTGCTATTGGGACAACCTTTTTATCTCACTTTTTTATATAAGACAATTATACATACATCCAAACAATCAACACCTATCTCAACACCCAAGACTAAAATGAGGAGAGGTAAATTTGTAATTTTACTGTTCATAAGCCTTGGATGTTGAAATGAGTGTTGATTGTTTTGGTGTATGTATAATTATCCTTTTATATAACTTTCACGTATTATTAAATGAGTAAATGCATTCAATATTATGGGTCTCATGTAAATTAAAAAAACCAATCATTTTAATAACACGTCAAATTATATAAAAAAGTGAAACAAAATAGTTGTCCTAATAGCATTTCTCAAAAGAGAGTACTATAAGTGAGTTTAAGATTTTTTTCAATTCTTGATAACAAAATCTTAAAGTTTTTTTTTAAATGCTTAACAACAAAATCTAAATGATATATTCAAACAACAAAATCTAAATGATATATTTAAAAGAATTTTTTTTTTCCAATTCAAAATTTGATTGTAAGATACATGTGTTTAGATTATTTAATTTAAGTCTTATTTTAAAAAATATATTAATTTTTTTATTTAATGTTGTTAAGGGAACATTAAAATGATTGCGATCTCATACAATGCATATACAACTCATAAATATTTGATTCCATTTAAGTGTAATATGGTTCTTTAATTGAAAAAAAGGAAAATATTATCTAAATCTTTAAATAAAATAATAATAATAATAATAAAGAATAGATATATTTAAATTATGAGATTCCTTATATGTTGCCCTATTTAATATTCTGTTTGATTTAGCTTATTGGAATTAACTTAATTTTAGG